CTCATCTCGCTCTTACTTAGGTATTTTTAAGCCTTCAGCAAGAGAAGCCTGTATATAAAGGGAAGAGCTGCCGAACTGGAAAGCTAAAGGAGAGAAATGTCGGCTATAAGCTGTCAAAAATAGGGCATGAGGAAATTCCGTAATTCTTAACAAAGGCTGTTTTCTGCTCCTGTGCAGCGAGTGCTGACAGAGGTGGAGTCAAGTGAAAGGGAAACTCGAACCCACATGAGAGTCAGTCGGTGCCAGCTTGAAGATAGTAAGGATGTAAGCCCAGTAGAGTAAACAAAGTTAAGACATTTATAGTGGTAAAACTGGACAGAGCACTTAAAAAGTGTGCATGGATGGAGGGACTTCTTTGAACAAAGCAGGGCTGTGGAAAAACTTCTTGAAGATGGTATCTGAAAAAAAAAAAAAAAACTCTTCCAAACTGTCTTCCCCCCCCCCCCCCCATGCTTCATAAAATAACTTCTAAAGGGAGCCTTCAGGAATAAAAAGCCTGTTTGTGTTCTCTAAAACTAATCTGATCTTGCAATCTTCATCAGTTCTAAGTGAATGATTGGGTTGTGTGATGTGGTGACTACATAAGAGCGAGCCTTTAGTGTTGTATTCATTGTATCTTTACTAAAAATAATCCAAAACTGTCTAAACAGCAGCAGAAACCATGGTAATTTAGTGTTTCCTTGTTAAATGAACTGGAATCTTGGGTTTTGTACATTTAGGAGATATTTTAGCTTGGTCTATTTAGAGTTTATCCTTAAAAAGACTGTAAAATAGGTACTGATGGAAAGAAAGCAAACAGTGTATTGAAGCCCATTGTGAATGTATCCAACCTAATATAAAAGTAAAAATCCGTTGGTTTTGATGCAGGAAGAGTAAAGCAGGTTGTAATCACAGACTGACCCTTTAATAGAATAGGTAGGATATTAAGCTGTGTATTAAAACAACAGCCTAATATGTAGTACCTAATGAACAGCTCAAAAAAAAAAAAAGGTACTGTCTAGTCAAGATGGTGAGTTACAAAGAGATCTTGGAAGGCTAAAGGGCTTTCTGAAATATTTTTACTTGGGAATTATATTAATCTAAACTTAAAATTACATGTGACCTTGGCCCATAGTAATTTATGAAAAGCTTTATGCTATCTACAAATGCATATGGAAAAGCAGCTCTTCCAGTGTATGCTATAAAGAAGGGACTAAGTAACTCAGTTGTCTGTTGTTGTAACTAATTAGAAAAGCCTTTTTTTGGTTTGTATTTCCCTTTGATACGCTCAGCGAATGTACTTTTCTCTAAGCTTTTTAGCTGTTTGGCTGCATATTTAAAACCTGTAGATGGCATATCCGGATTCTGCTTGTGTATTCATATATGTTTACTTTGATGTGCTTGCTGCCTTGTTTATCTTTTAAACTTAGAATTTAGCAATAATGTTCTGAATCTGCAGAGTATACCCATTTTTCCTTACCATTCCATTTGAGGCATCCTACTAGGAAATACATTTACTGTGGCAAAGATTGCAGTGTTTTTTAGTGTGTCATCTCCTGTTGCATTGTTGAAACTTCTTATTTAGTCTTCTGAAGCACTCTACTGGCAACTCTGCTATCCGTATGTGTACATGTATTGTAGGAACAGGCATGGTCTCAGTACATCAAAATATGTCATGGGTCTCTGAAATGCAAGTATTTGTTGCTGAAAGCTCCTTTGCTGAGACTAGTATGTAAAGATGTAATATATATATAATTTTAGTTTCTACCTTAGTGATTTGGTCTTCTTGGGAATCAAGACTGGGGTAGAAAATGGCAATGCTGACTTGCCTCCATGGCTGGTTTGGTACTTGCTGTCATTCAAATCTGAATATTTGCATTTTGAGTATATATTAGAATTATCATAATGACAAGAGGGAGTAGTTGAAATGATGATGTATAAATTGTGTGAGAATTTTGGTTTTTTAATGGTGATTTAATTTCTTCTATGTTCTTAACACCTAGACTGAAGCAGTAGATGCATCTTGAAGTGGTCATACTAGGCGAGTAATTTATGAGAGCTTTTGGGCCAGCGTACTGCTAACAACGTTAATCAAGTGTTTCGATGGACCACGTACAACATTAACCTTTTGGAGGTTAGTTATTTATATATAAATAAAGGGGTCTTATACACGATTAAAGCCTGGAAATAGTGTTCTGGTGCTGATCCAGAAACAATAGTGGGAGAGTAATACAAGCTTTGCAGCCTCATTAGGGTTACTGTATTCAAGTGAACGGTTCCACATCAAGAATCTGGAGTGTGTTCTACAGGTAGGTTACTTGTCACAAGTAGTTTCTAGTCAGCGCTAGCTTTGAGATCTGTAACACAGATCTTAATCGAAGAAATAGTTTTAGTCTCTTGTGTAACATTAACTAGCGAGTCATTTCTAATTGTAACTTAGACAAATACAACTTCCAAGTCAAAAATATCTCAGCCTTTTGGTTTTCTTGCAATTCTCAGTCTTGTTTAGTCAATACTATTTTAAATACCTACTTGTTTTCAGTTGCTTGTTAGAAATTATAAAATTGCTGCTCTAATGAGAGTTATGATGTTAAGGATCACAACTAATGCTGTAAGCCTTGAGCCCATGACCTCTATATCCAGATCAAAAGTCTCTCTTACTGGCTTCTCCAGTAAGGTAATAGTGTCAGCTGTGTTCTTAGCGATGTGATTAATTCTTTTCACAAAAACCAGCATAAAACATTACATAAATAAGGCACTCAAATGCATCCTCTTTGCTCTTGGGAGAGGAGGAGGAGTAAACATACATTTAACAAATGTTAATCATCTCAATTAACAGGGGAATACTCATCAGTTAATACCTCATCAAGTTATAAAGGCCTATTCAGGATGAGCTGGTACCCAAAAAATCGAAGACTCTAAGCTGTAACTAGGTGCCAGCATAAAGATCATCATTCTCACTCCCTTTTGTCTACATCTTGACCCAACAATACGTTGATTCACGTAAGTACACACAAAGAACATCTTTTTGCTGCCAAAAGTGGCTTTCCTAAGTTCAGCAGTTGCAAAATGCAGTATTCTTTGCCCGCTGAAGTTGATGCAATCTAATCATAAATGAAGTCATCTTACTTAAATTTGCTGATGGAAAGCATTGTTGGCTATGTCTCTTCGTAAAGTCTACTACAGAATGCTTCGTGGCCATAATCAAAGATGGACAGCTACTTTTGGTATCTGGGCCAAATTCCTTTGGTAGTAATTATGGCTGACTTCCAGTTTCTCATTATAATATGATTATGAACATATTTTTCACTTCCTGTCATACAGCTGTTAATCATCTCTATCGCATATGCAGCTGTCCAAATTCTCTGCAGTTGCAGATTGTCTGACTGGGAGGCAGTTTCTTTATGTAGACAGAAGCACTATGAAGCATGACACTGCTTAGTGTTACTTGTCATCTATGCTGAATGTAATGTTAGAGGCTCAGAGTTACCATTTGACTTAAAACAGAAAACCCATCTACCCTCACCGCTAGGAGGAGTATGGGGTGTATGCCATTGTTAATCTGACTTTGTGCAAAGACCCACCTAAAACAGCAGGCCAGACTTCTAGCTACACCCTGTCAGAAATGTAGTATTCTGAATTATTTGCCTATTCTTCCCCAGCAACTTCTATGGTTGCTTCAGAGTTGTTACACTTAGTGCAGTCTGTTTGTGGAAGGAGGCTAATTGCTAAACAGCAGTTGTTGGTGAAGTCAGGTGGGGAATGGTAACATCATGATGTGCCTTTATGGGTGTTGACAACATCAAAAATTTTGACAACAAGCAACTTCAGGGGTTACTGCGGGTAGTCTTATATTTTTCTTAAATATAACTGATTTACAGTCTGTCTCTAACATAACCATGAAGGTATGAAAGAGTGGAAGGTACAAAACTTTCTTGCAGAACAGGTGTAGTTTGTTAATAACTATGATTCTGCATGTCAAGCCAGATGCTTTCTGTAACACCTCTTTAAGAAAGACAACTACTTGTTCTTCATTCATGATATAATGATCAGTATCTCACTTTTGAGAAACAAACAAATAAAAAAGGTAAGTGCTGGTTTTATGGGAAGTGTATTTGTCTTTCCAGGTCTTGTTTACTGTAGCAGCTAAAGTGAATCAGAATGCCTCTCAATGATGACCAGAACAGTGATTCAGATTCTTCACGCCTCTCTGAAAGCACAGCTGCTTCTAGCGACTCCGAATATTCAAGACAGAGCTTCAACAGTGATTCTTCAAGCAAACCCAGTACCCCAGCGTGTAAGCCTTTTTCAACCTTACCTACAGTGTGCATAGGCAGATAAAGCTAACTTACCTCATTTCTCTTTGCTGTCATGGGTAGAACCTGGGATTCTGAATCTCTGTTTAAGAGTATTAAGAGAAAGGCATGGCTTTCTCTCTGCTATGAAGCAGCGCGCCTCCTTGTGTGTGGAACACCACCAGCAGGTGTATCTGTGGGGGTCTCCCTGTGTGCTTCTTCCATTCAGGAAGTGTAAGAAAAATGTGCCACCGTGGACATCCTAATCTTGACATTGGTAGCAGTCTCCCACTCAACCAGATACAGCTTTGTGCAAAGGGTGGGTTTCTTCTGCTTGCTCCATACACTTAAAAAATTAAATCTGTAACTTAGATTTATAGTGTTACATCAGGTTACATGAAATTAATCTCCAATTCACATTTTTTTCTTTCATAAATATTAGCATCAAACAGAAAACACATTTGCACAAGGAAGGCATTTTGAGTAATGATAAATAAAACCTTTGTTAAGATGTGCTTCATGTTCATGTCTGTAAGCATTCTCAGACCATGCATACTTTTTAGCATTGATGTAAGTGAAGTCTTAATGTTAAAAAAAGCTTGTTAACCAGCTGCAAATTGCAGCTCAACTCTTTGTCTTGTCTTTATTGCCAGTCTTCAAAGGCTTAATTCCAAATACGAAATTAAATGACAGAATTTGGGGGTCTAGAAATTTTAGGAATTTACTCTTGCTTTCCAATGTAGAGTTTCTGTTATGTTGATAATACTTATTTGTAAAAAGGGAGTGTAACTTATGATGCATCTGCTATGGAACATAAGTGGGGGGTTCTCAAGTCAGTAACTTCAGAACCTTCTCTACAGGCAATAAAACCACAATACAGCCATTACGTGCTCAGAATTACAGTGGGCATCTGGTGTCTGTTATCGCCCATGCTTTGGTCTGGTGGATTTTACAGAACAGTCAATAGGAAGTCTGTGGAATGCAAGATCCTGTTTTAAAGGAAAAAAAGATATCTCAGTTAAGATACAGAAATATGAAATTGCTCTTTAAAATGTTATGAGAATTGTCTGGTATTAGCCACACACTCCCCTGATAAGCTGGGAGTTTCCTGAGTTAGTGTTTTAAGAAGGTATAAAGACCTGGTTATCCTGGGGTGCTTCTTCTAGAGTACTAGAGTCCAATTAGCAAGCAGTAAAATTTCAGAATTTTAATACTTTGAATTGCACTTATCAACTGTAGATATTTGGCTTGAATTGATGTTTGTTCCAGCAGCAAGCCCTCCCAAGACTGTTACATTTGATGAACTGATGGCAGCTGCAAGAAATTTGACAGACTTGACTCTAGCTCATGAAATAGCTGTAAATGCAAATTTTTGCATAAAAGATGAAGATTTCCCACAGAACAGGTAAGAGCCTGAATTTTGCAAAAAGAGGCACTGGGGTTAGGAAGAGAGGAGAAATGAATGGAGCAGCAAACTAAAAAAAAAACCAAACCAAACCAAAACATCTTGGAAGCTACGGATTTTCACCCTGCACCTCCAGGAGTTACTGTCAAAGCTATCTTGCTCGGAACAAGTGTTGCAGTCCAGCTGAGTTGATAACTGTCTTGGAGCATGTTGCTCTGTCTTAAATGCCATGGGGAAGATAAAAGGCTAATGCAATGTGAATCCCCGTAGTAAAGATGAGTTATCGGTCTGTTCTGTGCAGTTCCAAGCCCTAAGGAAAAGATGAAATGGTGGCATTCTGTGCAGTTGTATGTAGTAGTTCATTGGTGCCATAGTGATAAGAAGATAGAGCTTACCATAAACATAGCTCTAATATGAGCCCAAGAAGAGATGCAAAAATACCTGGAGATCCAGAGGAAGTGAGAAGTAACTTCCCTAATGTAGGTAGCTAAAATGTTCTTGCTTATAGAAGTGTCTAACTTAAAAATGACCCTGATCTTTACTTTGAGAAAACTTACATAAAAAACAAACAGGTTTTTAATTGCACAAGTCTCTTAACTGATAATTGGTTATATGACAGAGAACAGTTTTTGAGAAAGATTGGTACATAACATACCAGATTAGGACAATGAATACAAATTCGACAAGGAAAAAGAAAAGGCAATATCTCTTTACATCTGAATTGCCGGCACCACTTTTTCCTAAAACACCTGTATTTTATAGACTTGGCAGTCTAGACCACGTTTTGGGAGCTGATGATCCACAGCCCAAGAAAGATATGGTTGCAGGGCATAATAGCTGGTGAGGTGTTGTGTGTTTCCCAACAAGTGATTAGGCTAATCTAAAACACTTATACCAAGGATGAAAGCTAGTTGGGAGTCTTTCCAGTATCTAATTGATTTATTCCACAGCTTTGCAGGCACAGTGAAACAAATTGTACATAAGGCGTTTTGGGATCACTTGGAATCAGAACTGAATGAAGATCCTCCGGAATATGAACATGCTATCAAGCTCTTTGAGGAAATTAAGGAGGTAACATTCCTCATTGCCCCCCACCCCCCATCCGTCCCCCCTGTCCCCAGTGCTGTTTTGTCAGCTCAGGTCTGGGAGTCTCTTACTTCACTGAAGGATCTGCTAACTCAGTCAAGCCAATGCCTTCAAGTTTGTTCTTTTAAGATGAAACTATGATTATTCAGAACTGCAACACCTGTCTATTTGTAGTATATTTATATTAACCATGAATATGGCCACACATGCACAGTGGCATGTCCACTCAGCTTTCATTGTATGATGATTAGTTGCAAGTTAGCTCTTTTCTCAGAGCTTTACATCTCTACTAGCCTCTTTCCAGGAATGTACTGTGAGCTTAAGGCATTAACAGGAGTGTAAACATGACTGCACCTGCCCAAATAGACTTAATTGTTTATGATCATCGCACAAGGGAGTATACAAACCTTCAATCCTGGCACAATACAAGTCTTTCAGAATTTTAAGTTAGTAAATGTTTGTTTTACAGGGCAGCCTCCCAGTTTTTGAAATAGTGTCATTGTTGACACGCTTTCTGGTTTGCCCACTTTGAGCATTTTTGCAGAACTGCACTGTGATCCTATTAACAGTCCTTTTTTCCTGCTATGTTAGATAACGTTCAGTCTTAATGTGTCTTGTTAGAGTCAGTCTGCTAAATACAGTTGATGCATTAATATGAAAATCTTTTTGGTGTGTTTACTAAGTGGTTTTGTCTTTATTGATAAGCTCTTCCTTTTTTTTTTTTTTTTTTTCTCCCCCTACTTTAGATTCTCCTTTCCTTCCTGTCTCCTGGAGCAAACAGGATTCAGAATCAAATTTGTGAAGTTCTAGACACAGATCTTATAAGACAGCAGGCAGAACATAATGCTGTTGATATTCATGGGCTAGCTAACTATATCATCAACACTATGGGAAAGTTATGTGCTCCAATAAGAGACAACGATATAAAACAGTTAAAAGCAACTGACAATATCGTAGAATTACTGAGGTTAGTATTTGGGTGGTATTTTTAGAGGATAAACCTCCTTTCTGAAAGTACTCTGTTTACATGACACCTGTTTTCAAACCATAGGAAAACTTATTTTTATACAGAAGCATTAAAGGGGAGAAGCTACAACACAGTGACCAGAATATGATGTGTATCTTACTTTTTAATGAAATGGGTAGAATGCCTATATCAAACACTACGGGCTCTGAGTATCTAACCCACTGAACAACAAGAAAAGCACTCTTGCAATAATCTGTGTTTTGGAGACTGGTTTTTCAGTCTTGTTCATCCTTTTACAAAATTTAAGCAGCACATTTGTACTGTTAGTTCTTGAACTGTTTGTTGCATGCTTCCTCTAGGAGGCCAAACTTTGGATTGAAAATCCTTTTAGTAAAGATCTTCTTATTTGAACTTGAGCAAAACACTTGCATAAAAGGGCAGAAACCGGTTTACTGCTCCTTAGGTACACTGAAATATTAAGAGTAAATGGTAGTTGTTGTTCTACTCTTTTATTGCAACTTGGATCATATATAGGGACCAAAGCAACTGGGTCAGAAGGACTGTTTTTCTTGGTGCAATTAGAGTGACTAAAAAGTTAAAATCTGTTCATTTAGGCTGAAATGTACCAACTGATATAGTTCTTGAAAACCCTTCTCTTTCTGTTACAGGGTTCTAGCATTTAGTGATGCTACATATTTGTCCTGTTCTCTGTAACTTACACCAAGCCTTATACACAATACTCCTTCAACTATCCTGGAAGATGGGTAACATATCTGTTACACTGAAATATCAATGAAGGAGTTTGCTTCTCCCAAACTGAAATTAAAGTGCTAATGTAGGTGTACCTCACATGTACCAGTTAAAATCAATAGGCTATTTTAATTGTCAAATTTTAAACTCCTGCTTTCAGACAAATATTCCGTGTTTTGGACCTGATGAAGATGGATATGGCTAATTACACAATTCAAAACCTCAGGCCATACCTTCAGCGTCATTTGGTGGACTATGAAAGAACAAAATTCCAGGAAATTCTTGAAGAAACGCCAAGTAGGTATCATGCTGTATTTAAAGGTATCATGCTTTCTTTAAAACGTGGACTGTTTAAAGACATGATATAAAATCTACGAATTGTAGTTAATTTGGAGGAAAACTGCAATTTCTTGTCTGGATCTAAGTAATGCACAAATTCTTTGACAAGCTAGTAATGGGCAATTGCTTAACTTGCTATAAAGTATGTTTTTCTGTAATCTGGGGTGCTTTCAGACAAAGCTGTATTTGTTTAATTGGTTGGTATCTGAAAAACAAACAAACAATGGCTCTTACTGTCTGGAGGCAGAAGCCCTACATACTGAAAAGTAAGACTTTATCTCTTGTATGCAGCAAGTCTGCTGTTAGGCTGAAGTATGTAAAACCAGTTTGTGCCTGAAAATTGGGACAGGATCAATTTTTTTAATAAAAGGCAGGGTCTGAGAAAACTTCTTAGGTGATGCAAAGTCAGCTTGATCCAGTATTACAAGTTTAGCGTGATGTGGCTAAACAGTCCTCGGGAAAATATATTTTCCAAGAAGAAAAAGTAAACTCGCTAACATCTGGAGCAGGGGCTTCTAAAATGGGAACCCTGAGCCACTGATATGGTCTGCCGTGTTTATATATGCAGCCCGTGAAAGAACTCTTTAAAAGCATTTAATTTGCTGTTAATACAGTTGACCTCCCTTCACCTCTACTTTCCAGTCTTGTGCCCCAGGTATTAAGTGGCCTCCCTGAAAAAGGGAAGAAATGCTTTGGGAAGTCGAACTTGGAGGCTTTTTTTTACCCCAAAATCTTGGCTGAAGTCTAACCATTTGTTGTTGGGTTTGTAGAAGCTAGCTAGAATATTAAGGTGACCAATAGAAGATCATCAGTGGAAAAAAGTGTGGGAGAGAATTTATGTGTGTGAACACTCAGCTGTGCACTATGTTCAGTCTTCAGAAGTTCAGTACTCCTATGTGTACAACTCTTTTCCTCAAGGTAGTGCTTATTTTGATGAAAGCATGCAGTAAATCTGTGCTGATTTGCAATGCTTAGGTGCCCTGGATCTCACAACAGAATGGATAAAGGAATCGATAGAAGATGAATTGTCATCTATTTCTGATGAATCTTCATCGCCTGGTGCTGACAGTAGTTCTAAACCAATTATTAGTCCTACACTGGTGCTAAACAATGGCTACTTGAAACTCTTACAATGGGATTATGGCAAAACGATTCCAGAGGTGAGAAGTATATTTCAGTGTCTTCAGATTTCTAGCTATATGAAAACATTGGTGTAGTATAGTAATCCTGCTATTGATGACAATAGGTAAGGTATTCTCTTGCACTTCTTAAATTTCTGAATAGTAAATTTGGAATTTGGAAAGTATATGCTACTCTAGTTTTTGAAATAGGAGATGGACAAGTCAACAACTAGAAACGAACAACGTAAAGGTTGTTTTCCCTCTATCCAATCATAGCTCACCAGCTCCACCCTAAGAGCAGTCTTGGCCATGGTCAAAGACTGGGCTTTGTCCTGATGGCACTTGGCTTTCTGTATCTTTTGAGAGACCTGACTATAGCATCCTGTTTTCCTAACAGCAGCAGGAA